AAAAAAAAAAAAAAAAAAATTACACAAATGAGGGGAGCCAACGACGGCGGCGAGGGGAGCGTTTAATGAGATGTAGACTATAAAAATGGGGACTATTTTAGTTTATTGGTGTAGTTATACCTGCTGAAGAGTATTCTATCGTGTTTATCATGTCCCCAAGGCTTTCTCTAGCCTCTTTACGGGGCCCTGGGATGCACGGCTTACGATGGGTGTGAGGGAAATGCCTGATAACGTATATACAGTAACGGCACCGGGTCGCCAGTTTTTTCACTGCCACACCCGCTCCCGCAAGTTGTGCCAGAAGCCTCGGTCGTAGATATTGACCAATTGAGTCTCGACCAGCGTCACCTTCTCGAGGTGTACTCCCGAAAATTGGTGCGGCGCCACCACCACCTGCTCGTCGTTAAGCGAGATAAACCCGGTGTCGGCGCCAATGTACTCGACGTAGCGCTCGCCGAGCCGACCCACACCCGGGGTCACCCGGTACAAGAGCCCCAACCGCACGAGCCACTCGATATCGCCCCATTTGTCGGCCTCGTTGGTGGTGACCCCGAGGTAGATATAGCGGAGATGGAGGAGGAAAAACGCCGCCAGCACCACCGAAAACGTGCCACAGAGGATGACAAACATCCCCGTGACTTTATTTCTCTCAGTCGTGCCGACGATAAGCCGCCAATAGCCGTCGGGGTGCGGTTGCGCTATAAGGGCCCGGGCACAAAGATAGAACCCATAGGTCAAAAAATTCTGGTTGGCTAATAGCCACACAAGAAACCACCGATAGTTATTGCCGCCGACACAGTTATTGATCCAGTGGCAGTGGTGGTCGTAGACGGCGATACAGTGGCCACACACGCGACAGTGCTTTGACCGCGCCGGCTTCACCACGTCACACGTATGGCACACCCGGCCGTCAAAGAATATAAGGTTATTGTTAGGGTATTTGGCCACATGTTTATCGTCAATGATCCCCGGATCAGATAGCATCGCCACCGCCGTGGCCGCGTACACCGCCGCCATCGACGCCACGATCGCGTACCAGTGCCAGCTGGTCCCTGGAATCAACGGCGTAAGTAAGGGGACGGTCCTAATGACAAATAGGCAAAAGCAAAACGTCACCACCCCGATATACCCCAGGGGGATCAGCCAGCGGACGTAGACATCAATACCGCCAGGACACCTGAGATCAAGCCAGCGGTAAGCTAGGCCTATCCGGTCGACGCCATGAAGAATATGCTGTCGCCACCGAGTAAGCCAGGGGGTTCTGAACGCCGGCACGTCCCCGACAGTAACGACAATGGCACTGGTGACGGCACCCAAGAGCGACACCACCACCAACCAAAAGAGCATCGGCGCGATTAGCCTCCACAAAAGACCGTTGTACCCCAACATGATGGCGGCGGCGTAGACGAGCCACACCACCACCGTAAACACGAGCCAGGCGACGATACCTGACCCCAACCACGCCATAGCCACACACCCGACGAGGGCAAGACAACACATGGGGTTTGGTTGGTGCTGCCGGTTGTGCTTGTGATTTTTTTCGTCTTCCTGGTAGCTACGGTATTTGGGGTATTGGTCACCTTGGTGATAGATTCAACCCGGATGACTTTAAATAATTGATTTAGAAATTCACTAGGACTTTTTGAAAAGTATTTGGTCCTCTTGATTTACTGATAGCGTCATGAACTTGTCTGCGATAATATATTCAATCTCCTAACTCGTATAATAATGCTCCCTTTTTTTTTTGAAATGAAACGAGAATAAATTCAACCAGAGACAATATAAACTCTATTTAACTTCATTAGAGAAACAAGTATTTGTTTAGTCATTTTTATCGTTTTATCGTGTTAGTTGTCAGACGACCCGATAGTATCTTATATGCAGGGGAGGGGTGGTTATCAGAGGGTGCGCGCTCAGGTTTTAACCCTTTAGCTGTGAACGCCATGTCTGACCTCACGGCTCAACTCTCGGCGTTCAAGAACCGGATCAAGAGCGGCAACCTGGTGCTGGTTGCCCGCAAGGCCACCAAGCCGGTTCTGCCGACCAAGCAACCGCCGGCGGCGCCGGTGAAGCGGCCGGGGGACTCGATCAACGAGGCAATCAAACGGCAAAAGACCCTGAACCAAGGCACCCACTTGCTGACCCAGTTGCACATGGCAGTGGAGTGTATTAAAGGTCAAGATAAGCCGGTGCCGGTGGCGGAATTGCAGCAACAGCTCCTGTTCGACGTCACCAACCTCTTGCCGCTTTTGCGGGAAATCGACCGTATCCGCTATAACCCGGAAAAGCAGACGTTGCAGTACGTGTCGTTACACAACATCCGCAACCTGGACGACTTGTTGAACTATTTACGGCTGCAACCGACGTTTAAAGGGGTGAAAGTCGCCGATTTGAAGGACGGGTGGTCCGGGTGTATGCAAGCCATAGCTCAGCTTGAGGCCGAGAATCGTATCCTTGTGTTGCGTAACAAAAAGGAGAATGCCCCCAGGCTCATCTGGGCTAATTTGGGCGGTCAACTCGACATGATTGACCCGGAGTTTAAGGATATGTGGGGGGCAGTAAAGGTACCCGAAGGCGACAACTTGTACCAGGCGTTGATCGACCAGCTGCTCAAGCCCACGGGAGCCGACCCCACCCTTGTTAAGAAGCAAGTGAAGAAGGAAGAGAAGAAACAGAAGAAGGCGAGACGGGGCAAGATCACCAATACCCACATGAAAGGCATTTTGAAGGACTACTCGCAGATGGTTTAGTACTACTACAATTTATGAAAAAAATGAAATATCGTCTATCTACATTCCGCTCCTTATTGCACTAAAATTACAAGCTTGCACTTGTCGTAGAGAATCAGTTGGAATTTCGTATCGTCGTCAACCTCAAACTCGGCCATCGCCTCTCGGTGCTCGGGGGCCACCGTGTCCACTGAGTGCTCGGCAAGGTAGTCGTCGTAGTCATTCTTCAAGAACAAACACACCCGCTGGTCACCAGTGACGTTTAGCCGTTGATGTAATTTGGTCTTGAGATCCTTCAACTGTAACAGGGTGGGGAGTAAAAGCACAAAAATGTCATCATCGTAATAGAACTTGACCTTCACCTTCCGCAGAGCCAGGTTGGCAAATAGGTCTTGCGACGATGAATGAGGGTTCATCGACGTCAAGTTGGTGGTGCTCAGGTGGCGCAGATGGTCCGTCAGCGCGTTCAGGGTGCGGTGGGCGTATTGAGATAAGCGGTCTTGCTGATAATTCAGCTTTTGCAGGATGGGCTTTGACGCTCGCCGGGTTTGTGGCTCTTCAACTTCGCGGTCAAACCCGTTATTTAACACTTCAAAAAGTCGTAACACTTCATCACACCGCAGGATATTGGCTGGGAGAGCCACTAACTGGTGGAGGTATTCGTCCAATTTTTCTCGCCGTAACTTTGAGATCAGGTCATTGACATTAATCAACGGGCCGGGGATCAGCGGGATTATCCGCTTTGAGTTTTCCATGCGTCCCGCTTCAAAGGGGAAAAGCTCAAGCAACTTCACCTGAAGATCGTAAAAATCCTGATAATATCGGTATAAGTATCGGGTGCGTCCGTTACTTAATTTGGCCACCACAAGGTATTGGTAACGTCCATGGTCAAGCTGGTACAGGTCGACGCCGGCATCCAATATCTGGGTGTTGGTCAGAGCGAGGCTCAGGCGGTTCAGTTCGGGGAAGTACAGCAGTTGCAGGTGACCCGGATGGCTGGTGGGGGTGTGGACAGTATTCAGCATCGCGATTTGTCCCAATGGGATCGTCAGCGCCTGGTACCGTGCCGTCATGTCTTTCCATTGTTCGACAGTGGGGATGTTAAACTTCTCAATCAATTGCGGAGAAATCTGGCCTTCTTTGATGTCGAGATTAGGGTGCATCCCCATAAGGTCAATCACTTTGACATAGGACACTGGGACCAAGCCTGGACCTCCTAGCCGGTTAATTGGCTTAGCAATAAACCATTCGTACTCATGGTGAGCACAAATGATTAAGTTTTCTCCCGGGAATATGCTGAGTTCGTCGTCGCGTTCGGCTTTGAATTCGTAAAGGACCTGAGCGTAGAGGGTGCTCAGCCCGCCCAGTCGTCGGTTGGTGGATGCCACCAACGTCAGCATCCCCAGACCGATCAGCCCGTTAGTTTTCGGGCGATTACGTTTGAAAGTCTCAAAATACAGAATGGGCACCATCCCTTTGGCGTGGGTGACGGGGTTGGTGGCTTCGTACCACCCGTTTTGCACGTCTTGAGCCTCTTCCTCCAACACGTGGAAAAAATCGCCTTTGGCAAATTTGAGTTCTCCAGGACCCTGAGGGTAATAATCGTAAAGCGCCTTGATCACTTTCTTCGGCAGCATGAGGACGTCGTCGGCGGCGGTGACGTCGGTATCCAGAGCCAGTGCCACCCGGGTGATGTTATGCTTGGGCGATGAGCTCGACAGGCTGCTCAGTTCACGTTTGCTGCGACGAAACGACCTGATCATCAACTAAAAGTATCGGGGAACGACCACAAAGAAAGATGATGATGGTAAGGGGAGAAAGTCGAGTGGAGCCAGATGCTTAACACGCGGTGGAGGGCTTTTTTTGGGAGGGTGGTGGTGGGAACGGTTGAATTGAGCCAGGACTAGGTTGAACACGCGTCCCAAAGCACTATTCGAAAGGTGAAGCAGTCTCCAAACTCGATGGCCACGGCGGGGGTCGGGGAGATGTGGGTAACCGTCGCCTGCGGTTGAAATAAGGAGATAGGGCGGTGTGCGCGCACCCACCCACCCACCGGAGAACGAAAAAAAAAAAAAAAGACGCGGCTCGCGTCCCAATCGGGAAAAGTGATTGAAATGAGATGTGCGCCACATTACGACGGGCTAAGACCAAACAAACACCACAAGACGACAACTTTTCGTGTCGCAATCACTTATCGGCTACCACTTCAACTCATAGACTATGAATAAACATCACGGCTAGTCGTCGGTTCGTCCTAAGCTCTCATGCGGAGGCAAACGTTAAGTTTAGATCAGGAATGAGTCTAGACCGTTGGTGGGCTGGTCCAGCACGGTGCGACGTGCGCTGGCGGTTGAACTCCCTGTCTAAAAAAATAATAAACCATTCGAAATGCTTGCACTTTGGGAGATGAGGATAACAACCATTAAATTGAAATTATCCGTTTCTCTTCATCATTTCCCAGTGGCGGTGTCGGGTGATGTCGATGTTAGCGGCCGCCAGCATTGCATGAAAGGGGTGGTTGAGGCTTAGGGGCCGAAAGTGCATCGGTGATGACGCAAGATCCACTTTTTTTCCGTCGCCCTTCTGAAATTGAGAGTGGGGTGAAAATATGAGCCCCGTCACCACCTCAGCATCGGCAGCGATGACGTCGAATGTGTAATATCTCTACCGGTAAACTTAGGTGATTTCTTTAGCCATTTAGGTCATCGTTTAATTAATTTACTATATATCACATCAACCAATTTTTTTCAAGTTTGATAAATTTGAGTAAATTACAAAGTTATCAGATTTTCAAAAATTGTCTCGTCTATAGAAACTTCTGCTAAAAGAACAGATTATACGCGTTGGCAAAGTTGCCGAATTGCTTGGTGTGGCACCCTGACTCCTCCTGGACTTGATGCAATTGCGGCAACCACAGCTTAATGGCTTCGATACGATGTTCCGACGCCGGGTGGGTGCTGAAAAATTCCGTCATCCGCCCCCCGCTAGCTCCGCCCATTTGCTGTTCCATATCTTCCATACGTCCCCAGAAGCTGACGGCGGCATCAACGTTGAAACACGCTTTAGCCATGAGCTCACACCCGATGTGATCAGCTTCGCTCTCCTGCTTTCTCAGCCCCGGTAATTGGAAAAGCGTTTGGATCAAAAGATCGTTCAACCCCGTAGAGCCCGTGATTGAGAACATGATGGCACCAGCTAGCATGTACAACGGCAGCTTCAGCAACTGTTCCAGTGAGTGGTGGGCTAATTGATGGCTAAGCTCGTGCAGCAACACCGTGGCAAGCCCATCCTCATTTTGACAGATGGGGATAATCAGGGCAAAAATAAAGATCTTGCCATTGGGAAGAATGAACGCGTTGGGAGGGTAGTCACCTGCCACTACCAGAATTTGCCAGTCTAATTTCTTCAAGTGCTCCCGCTGTTTAGGGTCCTTAATCAATTGATCGGCAGCTTTGAGTAACCGATCCATCACCGAACGAATTGGTTGATACACACGGTTGTTGTGATCAACGATGTCGCCACCAAATTGGGCCATCACTTGACGATACAGCATGTCGCCCATTTTCTGTTCCATCCAATAAGGAACCCAGCAAAACTGAAGTCTCCCAGTGTAGGGAGCTTTGTGCAAATTGGCGACGTAGAATAAACCAAGGCCGGCCGCCAAGTACCACAACCGCCGGTCATAGAGCAAGTCTTGCCAACTATTCGACAGGCGGTAGCGATGACCTTTACGTTCTCGGTAGTTCCCGTAAGGGTCTAACTCGTATTCCACCACATCGGGGTCGTTATCACCAAACCGCCGGTACCGGGAGTGGCGTAATCGAATCGGAGCCATGCCTCCTAGCGGTGACCTTGCTACCGTTGCCCACGGCAGCATTACCCTCATTGGTCGAAGGGGAGACCCAACTGTGACCCGTGTGCGTGCCAACTGACGTAGCATCATTGTCCCAGACGTCAACATCGATATTGGTGGTATTTAAAGGAACGTTGGTTCAGCCGGTTCACCCGAGGATTTTGTGCGCAATATGTCCCATGCAAAGAATAGCTATAGCTTGCGAGCGTCCTGCCTGAGAAAAAGAAAAATTAACAAATCGGTCTTCGAGACATGATATTAGAATCCCGCCAACCCGTATTCAAGAACTCCGGCGCAAAAGTTGGCCAGTTTCGAGTCTTAATATCCTTCAAGTTTGTAAAGAGAGAATAAAATGTATATACTTGATGTGTGGCTCTGGCAAATTTAATTTTGCAGACTACTGCCGCCACTACGGCTTATCGATTTTACGTAGTTTTAGGCCGGCCTACTATGTGAGTTGCGCGCACTCACACAGATCAAAAGGGTTTGTTCACGCAAACGGCCTGGGGCTAACAACGATCATGAAGCTCCGTGTACCGTTGTGGATAACTCGCAGCTTCGAGGGGCTTCCACTCCTCGAGAAGATCCTTGTGGGTGTTCGATTATACGCGCTGATCTCGCTGTTCGCCTACTTGCTTGCGGCATTAGTGGCTCCATTAGGTCTGTCGGAAGCATACATCTATCGCATCAACTGCGACAATGTCGACGTCGCCAATGGACTCACTCAAACCCTCAGAAATAACGTTGCCAAGTCCGGGGCTCGGGTGGGCATCGGCTTGCCCGTGGGAGCGTCGCTCACCATGTCCGAAATCAATCTCCTCAGTGAGTACGCCGAAAACCAAGTGGCGCTGGCGCCACAGTATGTCACCAACCTGTTGTGGACCGAGTGTATTGGTAACTACAACATCCTGGTGTCTTGGGACCCTCAACTTCATCAGCGTATATATCGTCGCCATGACGATGTTGTCAAATGCTCGAGGAGTAATTCCCAGGCTTTTGATTATCGTCGAGCATTAGAGCACATTGGTTTGAAAGCGATCTTGGCTTACGCCTACCCCACACCTTCTTTCAAGGACTCCACCTATGTCGCTCAAGTCCGACTGCGATCTAGTCGGTTCCACATTGTGTCTAACGCGTTAATCGCTGCAATTATTTTTCAGATTCTTGCTTTTGTTGCCATGGTTTTGGTGTACTACAAGAAGCCGATGAAGTTCGGCCGCTTCCGTTCCCAATGGGCATTCCATATCATTGGACTTCTCACCCTCGGCCTGTTCATTGCGTCTACTATCTCCATTGCCATTGCCACTGAGCTTGTGATTGAGGTACGTAGTCTGCTCCGTAAAAGTCTTGGGGCATTTGGGTTTCTGCTTCGTATGGGAGGGGTGTGGTTTGCGGTATTTTGGCTCGGAGAAGTTCATGCTTTATTCCTGGGATTACTTTGGGCCATGCCGCTTTGGTGCGCCAACCCAGAAGATGATGACGGGGAGGATGAGTCAGAGTTGGTTTCGCTTGCCAGTGATAGTCGGTCGCTGGCGTTGCCGTTGATGCAACCCAAGCAGCCGAAGCAAGACTTCCGCATTCTGGTGGTACCTCTGTTCAGACATCGAACCTTTTCGGTATATGACTCCCAAGAGACTGAGCTTCGAGAACTTGGACAATCGCTTTCACGTAAGACGTCAGTGCGTCGGTTCAATCTGAAGCGACTGGCGACACAAGAATTAACTGTTGCCTCCGAATATCCCCTGGTGCAGTCAGTTGAGTACGACGGCTATCAAAGTCATTCGTACCCCAATGACCTCGAAAACATCTCTGAGGTGCCTGAGCTGGAAGTCTATGGCAGTCAACCTCGAGTTTTATCGGTACCAAAGATGACTACGCCTCCTAAATTTGTAATTACCACTCCTGACAATCGCGAGTAAATTGCAACTTGCTGCATTCATTATTATCTATGTGTTTCTCAAAATTTTATAGATTTACATAAAAGAAATAATTCCAAGATAATGATGGTATTAAATAAACTCACGTATGGAAGGGTCGCGCGTCTCTTACAAAATTACTTGGGGGAAAAATCCGCACAGTTATGCTGGACAAGTCTATTGATCTTCTTCGGCAATACCTTCTTGAACGAAAGCTGCTCAAAGAAATCCTTCCTTATACTTTATTTTCAAATGCTGTGCCTGCTTCGAGGGAGCTTTATCAACAACTTGTGGCTGAGTTCGATGATCGATTCACCGCGATCGACTCTGCCATCGATCTGATTGAAGATAGTTCACGAATGATTATGGATAATAGCGATAATAATTCAATCGCCATCACCGAGTTCATCAATGTCCTTCAGACAATGGCAGCTGAATGCCAGCAGCAGGCTCGGCGAGATGACAACGCTATTGAAAGAGAGGTCGACGAAATCAACCGCCTTATAGACCAATTGCCTACTAATGAGTCGGTGGACCTTAGCGAGCTAGAACTGGCAGTTACCAACCTTGAAAATCTGCTACGTATATGAGATTGTGCTGGTTATAATCTTTTAATGTCCATGATGTACGCACGTAAACAAGCAATTCTAATCAATTCAACATTCTCTCTATTTCGCGTCTGTCTCAATTGCAATACTGCTAGGAAATTCTGGTGAGCGCACGCACGTGTGCGTGAGTGGACGGCGGCGCACTTTTATCTACCGTCAACGAATCTTTGCTCTATCCCCAAGCAAAATGACCCTTTCCGACAAGGAACTTTATGAGCTTAACCGCAAGGCGGTGGCTGATTCGTTCAAAATCAAGCCCCGTATTGATTATAATACTGTGGGTGGTGTCAATGGGCCCTTGGTCATTCTCGACAAAGTCAAATTTCCCCGCTACAATGAAATTGTCAATTTGACTCTTCCCGATGGTTCAGAAAGAGCAGGGCAGGTCCTTGAAGTTAAAGGTGATAAAGCTATCGTTCAAGTCTTCGAAGGTACCTCGGGTATCGACGTCAAGAAAACTCGTGTCGAATTCACCGGTGAAAACCTCAAAATTGCGGTATCAGAAGATATGTTGGGCCGGGTGTTCGACGGGTCGGGGCGTCCTATTGATAAGGGTCCTAAAATCTTCGCGGAGGACTACTTGGATATCAACGGGTCGCCAATTAATCCGTATGCCCGGATTTACCCCGAGGAAATGATCTCCACGGGTATCTCGGCCATCGACACGATGAACTCTATTGCTCGTGGACAGAAAATTCCTATCTTTTCCGCCTCCGGGTTACCTCACAACGAGATTGCCGCTCAAATATGTCGGCAAGCCGGCTTGGTGCGTCCTACCAAGGATGTACATGACGGTCACGAAGAAAACTTCTCCATCGTGTTTGCCGCTATGGGGGTAAATTTGGAAACGTCGCGGTTCTTCAAGCAGGATTTCGAGGAAAATGGTTCTTTAGAACGTACTCTGTTGTTCTTGAACTTGGCTAACGATCCCACAATTGAACGTATCATTACACCGCGCTTGGCTTTGACTACCGCCGAATACTTGGCCTACCAAACCGAAAGACACGTTCTTACAATTTTAACGGATATGTCGCTGTACGCCGATGCTTTGCGTGAAGTTTCGGCCGCGCGAGAGGAAGTGCCGGGTAGACGTGGTTATCCCGGTTACATGTACACCGATTTGTCGACTATTTATGAGAGAGCTGGCCGTGTCGAAGGGCGTAACGGTTCCATTACTCAAGTGCCTATTTTAACGATGCCCAATGATGACATTACCCACCCTATTCCCGATTTGACCGGTTACATTACTGAAGGTCAAATTTTCGTTGATCGTCAATTGCATAATCGTGGGATTTATCCCCCCATTAACGTGTTACCTTCGTTGTCACGTTTGATGAAGTCAGCTATTGGTGAGGGAATGACTCGCAAAGACCATGGCGACGTGCTGAACCAATTGTACGCCAAATATGCCATCGGTAGAGACGCTGCCGCTATGAAGTCTGTTGTAGGTGAGGAAGCCTTATCAACGGAAGACAAATTATCTCTCGAATTCTTGGACAAGTTTGAAAAGCAATTCATTTCTCAAGGCGCATACGAAAATAGAACCATTTTTGAATCGTTGGACTTGGCATGGTCTTTGTTGAGAATTTATCCCAAGGAAATGTTGAACCGTATTTCACCGAAAATCTTGGATGAATTTTACGAGAGAGGAAGAGATGCGGATGATGATGAACGCGAAGATGCCGAACAAGACAAGTCTAATGATACTAACTTGGTTGATGTTTAGTGAATGAAATAGTTGATAGTACCAAATTCTACTTCTTTGTTTTTTTTTGAGCGAATTGTAAAAAGGTCTTCGTATCTCTATTAAAAGTTCGCGACATCTAAAAATTCAACTCCTCCATGTACAACATATATTCAATCTTATGAGTTCTGAAACAATGAGCTACATACAAATCAAGAGAATGAACGTGTTTACTTGTCGTCATGGCCACCGTCGCCAACGTTGCAGTCCTCACATTGCTCACCACCGTCACGCTTGTCGTCATGGCCACCGTCGCTGACGTTGCAGTCCTCACATTGCTCACCACCGTCACGCTTGTTGTCATGGCCACCGTCGTCAGTATCACGTTTAGCGTTAACAATCAAGTTATTGAGGGAAGCATCTCTGATATCGTGACCATGAACATCAGGAACATTCCCAACAATTACTGGAGCAGCCAGAACAAGCCCGATTGAAAGTACAAGAATAGAAAACCGCATTTTTGCTTTGTCCAATTGTCGAAATTCCCGGGGTATTTATGGCCGATTTAGTCCGGACTACCGAAAATGTGTCACAAAGTTGAATTCTATTTAGGGGTTTTTAAATGGTGTCAACTTGTTGCTTAGAGCATAGCCGCTCATGCAGTCATTCTTCTCCATCACTTTACCCAACTACGAAAGTCATACCGTTATGTTTTTAAAAAAAAGCTGTTCCTCAAATTCGTGGACCACTCTTGACACCATTCGCGATACGCAGGCTTCAGTGACATAACGGTGAAATTTTGGTATATGTCATCACCAAAACTTTCGTATTGATCAAGGAAATACCCTGATAGCCATGCAATGAGCACGTTCCCCTCCTGTTCCCCATTGTTTCGAAAACGCCGTATATATTACAAAGTGAAAATAGGGTTTTGAACTTTCAAGAAATGGAGTCAACCTTCTTGGACATTACTGTTAGAAAACACTTAGAGGCGAACAAAACTCCTAAGACTTAGATCTTAATAAATCATGGATCAATTTTTTGATTTGCACGAATGAGGTTTTGTGTAATTAATTCTATCACAAACATAAATAAAGTTTTCGACTAATGGGAGCATCGGCAAGAGCTGTTAGGATATTCAGGAGTGATCATTGCAGGGTCACAAAAAAAATTATGACTGGGGCGAGCTGGGAATCGAACCCAGGGCCACACCCACCCTAAGGGTGTATCATACCACTAGACCACACGCCCAGATATTTCTTTTTCCACTATTAATAGTGTATAGAATACAACGAGGTCTTTTTAATACGCCCGGTTTGCAACGTGCGCCTGGATGGGATGAATTATGACTCTATTACGTACCTCCACCAAAATCATTTACACGGATAACCTTCCGGAGCCTTCACGCTTGGTGCTACCCATTTCTTGTGCACTTAGTTCTAGATTTTATGAATTACGTTCTGAAGTATTCATCTTGTTTACGTCGTTGCGACGTTGGGTTGTGTCCGATCTCTGGGAGTGTAGTCACGGCCATTTTGCTGAGTGAATGCGGACAGCCCACACCATTGGCAGTGACTTGCAAGAGATTGTTTTTTTTTTTTTAAAAAAAAAACGTTTCTTGTAGCGACTCTTTTTTGCTTGAGCACCCTACTTCAATTATTAATCCTCTCAGAGGTTTGCCATTTGTTCTTGCTTCCTCAACCTGCGGATATCTTATCCGTTTTTTATTTCCTACGATGGTAGGCGGCTCTTAGAGTCTTCAATCGTTTATGCACACTTATAGATAAAAAAAATAAAAATGAAATATTGAATCACATTGACCGTGCAAAATCTGGTGTTACCACCGGTGTATTTGAACGTCAAACTTGTGGAAGAGTCTCTCCTCTTGATCTAAATCCCTCTTTAGCGGAAATGAGTACGATGAAAGAGAGCACAATGAACACGACAATGGAAAGTTTTGAAGACCTTGAAAAATTTTGGTTTGATGTCTGGTCTGTATAAAGGAAGGTCCCAGTGTGATTCCTGACTACCAGTCCATTGCTGACGGCTTGCAGACTTATCTTCAAGGAATATTTAACGCTGAGAATATTTAGCTCTCAACATCAGCCATCTGAAATACTCCCCCCTCGACGGCTTAGCTCCATTGACTCCACAGAGCTTTCTCGTTTCTTGCAAGCCACGTTCCTCCTTTCTGAGGAGACACGACTATTATGAGGCACAAGTTTTTCGAACGGAAGCTGACAAAAAAGTAGATTAAACGAAGCAAGCGGTACACCGAAACATGACGTTCTCACCTAGTTTTGATTTTGTTGTCTATCTACCAAGATGCTTCTCAAATTGGTAGATAGAGCCACCTATAAAGCGACAACAATCCCGGCACTTTCTGAGTTGAGAACCGTACATGGTGGTTACTGAAAGTTAGATATTAACGCGAACTTACAGAGGAAAATCAGCTTCTTTCCCTTGCATTCGGCCACACGAGCCAAGGGAAGGGGGTCAAGCTTGTCCTATGTAACAGTAAGTCTTGCGGTAACGAGCCGACACCTTTTGAGCGTAGTCAGTGTAGGCTTGCTTGTCCAACACGGCGAACAAATAGTCGGGGTGGACAACCATGGCTTGAGCACCCTTTTGACCGAAACCGAACGAGGCCACCGATATTGCCTTGATACCATCGGTTTGGATCGAACGCGAGGGGTAAAGGACGTATTCGTAGTCTTCCAAGACCTTGTCGACGTTGTCGGCATTACAGTTACCAGGAACGATACCCGATTGCAAGATTTTGATGGCACCATTCAACATCCACGCACCAGCGACACCCTTGGGGTGACCAGTGAGGTAATTTCGTTCTTTTTGAAGTACTGTGGAACGGAGCCACACCAATGTCGTTGACGGTCGATTGTAAGTGGCCAAAGCCCCACTGCAAGGGAGCGATACGAGGGTCGTTTTCCCAGAAGTCGTCGACTTACTTAAATAAGAGTGAAGAGCAAGCCTAGACTTGAGGCATAAAATAAACTAGATCACTGACAACTTCCATGAAACGACCTTGGTCCAACGAATCTGATAATATATTCCAATTCTATCATGGTTATACCCAGTAATGGAGGGGAAGTACGCAATTGTTCGCTCTGTTGCAGTCCAGATAAGCGTCATTCTAATTTTTGAGTTGAGTCCATCGCCTGAACTAATGCCCAACCATTGCTGATGACAGATACAAGATATTGACACCCACACCACCCATTTGTTGTATGGTGAATCAGTGACGACGAGGCCCTTGGGCGGACAGAGATATTGTTTGTTAGTCAGAACAGAGATGACGGAACCAAAAAGTGGAGAGCGGATTCCCATTTGATTGAACAGGAGCGCCACACTCGCTTCGAATCAAAGAAAACCAGCATTCCTTACATACTGCTCTCTGCGCCATGTCGCTCTCTAACTCATCACAAGGCCCCATGAGCACACGCCACAAATGCCAACACCTACAAGCAAATCGCCGGCGTCGAGGCCAAGTCATAGCAGTTGGAGCCACATGTTCGATGATCTCAAGGCGAAGGATACGACTTGGTCAAGGAGGCGAAGGACATCACCACTGCCACCAGTGCCCAATGAACCGGCGCCCCCCACCGCCTAAGTATAATTAGCCCTTACAAATTTATGCAATAATTTTGTCATCGTTGTTGATATTATGAGCCCTGTACCTTCCACTGAGTTAACAAAACTATCAATGTTATGAGCCTTGAAAATACCGTCACTTAAATCATAATTTTACTAATGAGGCAAGAATAGTACTATGCAGTATTAATAACACAATTTTCTTTGCGCACGTAAACGGCAAGAATAGCAAAATGAGTTGATTTTTCTTTCCTATTAAAGGAAACTCCAGCAAGTTTTGAACTTCCGTATAAGCAGAGTCAATATGTGTGTGAATTTAGTGTAGCAGACTACAGAAAATAAGAACTTTCCTTATTTGATTTGCAATCATCATAGTTTGGTGACAAAAGTGTATAAGGTTATTCTTTCCTAGTTCTCATTTTTTTTAGATTTTATCCGGTTTTGTTTGAAATACTGCATATTGAAAATGAAATTATTGTTGTATTACTGCATATAAATCTTTGGTACTGCATATAAGCATGAAGGACTGAAGACAATGACTTTGAACGTAGATGCAATTTGGGCGGAGCTTTGGAAAAGGGGGGTATTGATACAGTGTATTGTGATGGGAGAACTCGCCGGAGGGTGTTTTACAGAACTTGCCTGTTTGTAGAAAGCTTCCTTGCTCTCTGTACATCTCAATCTTTCTGTGATCCATGACCTTATACCATCCCATCCACCTTGTGAATATCAGATCCTCATGTTAATTGCTCTCCCATTTTGACAGCTTTTATTCCCAGCACGGTGGTTGTATGCACTTTTTGCAAGATTTTCTACCGGCCAAGGGAACCCTTTTTACCATCTATTGGTATCCGTGAAGGTCGAAGACTGCTCAAGTCGTGGTGACGACAGCACAAAATGTATCACGGACAGGTGCCACACACCTGCTTCCATATGATGAGGTGAGTTTTGACGGGGGACACAATGACCCTGGCGACGACCACGCGGCCACCCTGCCCAACACCCTGGAGGGCTTGCTGGAAGGGGAAGAGTTCCACGCCCGTCCCATCAGGCTCCTGAAGCAGCGCCTGGAGCTTGCCCTGAAGCGCCAGCTGGTGCTGAGCGGGTCGAAACGAGTGCTGCTGGCCGTGGTCGACTTGATCCGCCAGTCGGCGGTGCTCCCTTCGTCGCTGACCAACCTGAGGCGCCACCTGGCCTCGCTGGTTGATCTGGGCCGCTGGCTGTCCCGCAGCTCGTTGCTGAAGCTGAGAGACAGCGGAGGCGAGTTCTAGTGCCGTCTCATGCGATTGCTGAGCCGTCATTCAAAGATATACCCGTCAACCCCCAGTACCCAGCCGCTGACTCCCACCGCAGCCAATTTCATTACGGCGACAAATGTGCTTACTCCTGCCATTGAGGGGTCAGAAAACGACGCCTGGTGGGCCTGGCAATGCTGGCAGCCCTGGTATCGCTGATGTACGGAAATAAACATTAGCAGGCCCTTCCAAAATGTTTGCTGAGTGTCCTCGTTGATGGGTTTGTCAACATTGGAGTGTTCTTTGATCAGGACGTGGCATCATCTCAATTCCCCTTAACGAACCCACTTTTATGTGGGCTGTAAGAGAGAACCCTAATGATGAGATAAAAGCAGGGTCAAATTGGCCATAACTCTGTCTATAGGGTACTCGAAATTGTGGCGAAAGTCGTTGTTGCTTGCTATACTAACCCCAACTTCGAGAATTTTAAATCACGCTCCAAGCATATTGCCCGTCGAGTTGCCTTGAGAAACTCGCGTAACCTAACCGTTATGGTTTACAGCCCTGACTAAAAGCTTGGAGCTCGCGGTCTTGCCACGAAGATTGGTCGCGTGGATAGCAAGTTGTTAAAAGCAACTGGTGTTTGTCCGTTTGGCTTGGTTTACAGACACGTTGGGATGGAATGCTGCGATATATATGATTTTTGATAGGATCATCGGCGTTAAGTGAAGAATTCTGACCTGATAACTTATAACCTCTCTTCAATCTGGGTTTGAAAGCTACAGGGTCGCGGGTTTAAGGGGCTGGACTCAACTCTTGTTATTTTAAATTCCAATGCCTAGGTTTTAAAATTATCATTTTAGGTGCATTTGCTCAATTTTTACTTCATATTTCTGGTTTCGCATCTGTACTCATAAATCCGTTCAAGCCACAAAGTATTGAAACTAGGAATCTGGATAAATCTTCCGGTTATACAATACCAGAAATCCAACTAACCTTTTTGGTCACCTTAAATCCAAGGTTTAGTCGAAGAACAACCCCACCATATTTCTAACAAGCAGACTTGGATCTCCATTACCATCCCTTTGAGAGCGCTGTCTCGATACCACCTTCAGCTGATCAGATAAATTGGGCTGGATTTCAACATTTGTGGGTTTTTGAAGAAGTTCTGTCTTGCCTTTTGTATTGTGTTGAAAAGTTTTTTTTTTTTTATCTTTGGCTAGGTGGATATATCAATTCAAACTCTTTTCGAACAAGACATCTTGTGTAGGCTGTGGAATGTCGGCCTCGAGAGCGAGTTTTCTTGGGATCCGACTTTCCTCGGAGATGCATGAAGGGGGTCCCCGTGGGAGATCAGGGCCGAATTCTGATTCAACTGTGTCAGCCCACGCCGTCGCGGTGATATACCGCCATCTTGATAGCGGTTTCTTGAAGACGGTGAATGAAATCAGCTTTTAGATTCTCCGAGCCGGAAAGTTGTATCATGTTTGCACGATGGCCCAAAAACTGCTGCAGAATGCGGTTAAATGAGGTAAGGAATTTGATGTTGTTCTCTCTCATTTTCTACTTTTGCATTTAAAGGAGTAGTACACAAGTATTTAATATTTGTAAATTGAGAAAGCCAAGTATTTGATATTTGTAAATTGAGAAAGCCAACATCGGCTTCTCCTTTTGTTTCTCTTTTCATTGTTTTTATTTCTTCCTTTGAATTTTTATTTATTGCATCGTGCGTTAGGTTATTGAAATGTAGGTTATCGAGATGTAGGTTATCGAAATGCAAAATTTACCAAACAGACACCTCAGAAGCCCTCTTATTTTCGATGTCTTAGAACTTCAGTTTATGTCTACAGTATGAGGGGCATATAATTGTCATTAACTTGCGTCCATGTTTATTCTATGAGTTCGTAACCTTGAAAAAAAAAAAAAAGACTCTAACCAGCAGCTTATTGTTGTAAGAGAGAAAAAACAAATCAAAAACAGATACGAATTTGCGGTATGAGAATGCAAGAATAAACTGCAAACCTTCGAGAGTCGTAACAACTGAAGTAGGGTGCTCGAGCAAGGGAGATGACATCCAATAACCACAGTATTTAAGAAAATTTAGCAACACAACAATAATAATCCAGGATACACTCATAAATTTCCCACTTTCTCACTAGAACACTGACCACTGATTTCCTCCGTAGCATTATAGTCTTTTGCATCTGACGTCGTAGGCCAATTTGGAGGAAATCACCGGTTTAAAATAATACACAAGTAGACATAACGTGTCACTATGGCTATGAAGGTTGTTGTATTAAGTTGGGTGAAAGTCGTGTACTACTCGAAATAGCCAAACGTAA